GGCCCCCCCCCCCCCCGCCGTCACATATTTCATTCCTTTGGCATGGATGCGGAAGAGTGGTTCGGAATTCACGAACTGTGAAAATTGCGTCCGCCCCAGTAGTAGAAATCGAATATTCCCGGTTGGGCTTCCTCCTCACTGATCAGCTTCGGAGCGAGGGTTGCGCACATTACAACACTGATTATTGGCGGCCGTGCGTTCTGCGTAACAAGGAGGATGTTGCGTGGGCGTAAGCTTTATCAAGCCCGTTTGATGCTCATACTCACGACTAAAGTATGCCTGGATTTGGGTGACTCAGGGAAGACTTTAGGTGTATATTTGTTGGAGTTAGGGTTAGATGCCGTCACTCTGTTCCACGGAAAATCGGCTCGAAAGCACGTGCAGTGAGCTGAGGAAACCACCACTATCTGTGCCTACAGCAAAACCCAGTTGTGGGACGGACGCTCGGGAACGTGGTCTCTCATTCTAGTGGGCAGCACGCTGGGACGTGCCTTTCGGTGGAGGCGCTCTGTAAAAATCGTCTATTTCACATCTGGGGGCGCAGAGCCAGGTTCTCTCGGCAAGGGAACGCACGATCAAGCGCCTTCCCCGGGAGGGCCCGAAATATCCAGCATCGACTCCCCCCGTACCCCAAATCCTACAGTCAGCGCTGACACAGTGAGTTGGCCTATCTAGCGCCACGAAGATACCCGTGAGGCTCAGCATACCCGTCCTTCTCTCGGCGGTGATCAATCTCTGTCGAGCACATCTCAAAGCCGATGATACCAGCCCATCTAGCGGGCCCAGTCATTGCTGACGTAACTACAATAGTACGAAAGTAGGTTCGCCTGTCCAACAATCAACATAATATATGCCGTTGACGCTCGACATTCCCGTCGATAATTCGACAGTGACATCCGACTACAACGACAAAGGTAGGAGTAGTCCGCATGTTTTGAGTTCGAGTTAGGTGGTGAGGGCACATCCAAGGGAACAACCACCGTCCCCTGTACCACCTCCATCGGCCTACTTATCACTACGATCACCCGCTGTTCCCGTCTCCTCCAGGCCTTGCTAGAGCTGGAAGAGGCGGGGACGCTGGCAGAAATTGCCGAGCCGTACTTCGACACGTCCCGGTGCGCCTACCTAGAGGACTACGAGGACGCGAGCTCGACGTCCCAGAACCTTACACTGGTGGACCTTGCAGGCGTTTTTCTGGTCCTCACGATGTTCGTCGCGGCGTCCCTGGTGGTGTGGGTGTTCCGGAAGTCGTTCCGGGCCAAGAAGAAGTGGTCGGCGTACCGCGTTGAGCAGAATGAGCGGCGACAGTCGCTCAACAACGCGAAGGTGGGCTTGAGATTGTGTGCTGCTCCGATGCCAGCCGCTGATGACGTTTTGACGTTCACGCCGCTGATAGCACGAAGAAAGCCATTGATGCTGGAGACATGACTGATTGCACGAGCAGAGGCAACTTCAAGACAGGCCGTGTGTGTCTCAGATGGTGCGGAATGTGTGTACATCGCACGCGTTTCCGACGCGGCCGCTCACCTCCGGAACCACACTGTTCTTTCGTGTTTCCGCATTGTGCCCTATGTGCGCATCAGCAAGAATGACCCACCATTGTTTGTGTGTGTGTGTGTGTGTTTTCGTCCTATTTATTATGGCGACAGTCCCCCGATTTTTCGTGGTGAGACATGTGCTACGCTTTTCAGCTCATGTAGAGTACTACATTTTTCGGTGTATTTTTTCTTACAACTACAACTATCCAGGGTCACACAGGAGTGGATAAATTATACACCAGGGCTTTTTTATTCTTTTAATTCTTTTCATGCCCCACCTTCCTCCTGCGGTGCGTGCTGAATTTTTTTTTTTCGCGAGAAGGGTCCAGCTGTCTCTTTCCCTCGTCAACGGTGCTAACGTCGAAGTTTGGTAGTCACGAGAGCTNGCTACGCTTTTCAGCTCATGTAGAGTACTACATTTTTCGGTGTATTTTTTCTTACAACTACAACTATCCAGGGTCACACAGGAGTGGATAAATTATACACCAGGGCTTTTTTATTCTTTTAATTCTTTTCATGCCCCACCTTCCTCCTGCGGTGCGTGCTGAATTTTTTTTTTTCGCGAGAAGGGTCCAGCTGTCTCTTTCCCTCGTCAACGGTGCTAACGTCGAAGTTTGGTAGTCACGAGAGCTTGTCAGCTATATTTCGCTTTCACCCGCACATTTCGTAAAATTTTCACCTCATGAGGATTGGAACTCACGACCTCTGCGACTAGCGGATTACGAGGATACCACTAGACCACCGGGGCGACCGGTGTCCATTGCGGACCTGCGAACGAAGTATCATAGAACGACGCAATTGTCAACCGAGTGTATTCTCTGACTGGAACCTGCGGTTGTTATTTGGTCCAAGACGGCCTTCGACGGGGCACGAGAGAATCTGTTGCGGCCTTTTAATCCCTTTCCTTGGAACTCTCGTGTTTTCACGAAATGCTGTCTCGTACCTTATAAATCACGGTGCTTGTGACTTAATGTACGTGAAACGGCAAAGTGATACAGATGAGTCATACCAAACCCACAAATTATCTGCCAATCAGCCCCCACCTGCGCTGCGAATGCAACATAACGAGCAAATGAACCACCTTACTCCACACAACTCAGGCATTCCCGGTCATCCTTGTACCCCCCCTAAGCGCCTCTGTATAATTTTCCGGAACCCCTAAAATGGCCGGACAGACGTCGGGGGAAGAGGTGGATTATCAAGACCCCGACCAAGACCTCGACGCGCGGACCAACAGCTGGCCGTTGCTCTCCGCCAAGACGTCTCCCTCTTCGATCTCGTCCGCAATGATGATGGCGGCGATGGCGCCGTCTTCCAAACAGCTTCGGCATCGACCACCCGCAGCTACCTCTGGGCACCACCAGCACCGGCGGCGACAGCGGCGAGGGCAAGGAGCGCCGTCGCCCTCGTCGTCCTCTGTCGAGACTTTGGCGGCTCCGTGGCAACTGCACCAGCAGCGGCAGGCCACCATCTCGGAGGGGTTCGAGTCGCAAGTGTCAGAGGAGGAGGGGGGAGGCGAGGAAGAGGAGGACCCTCACGTTCCTCTCAAGCCCCAAGTGCCCACCCGGAAGTGGCGGAGGGCTTCTTCTGGTTCTTCTCCTGCCGTTGCCGACGCTGCCACGGCGGCTGGTGGCGGTGGTGACGGGAGTGCTGTTAGGTTTGATGATGCTGCTGCTCCAATCGCTGATGACAAGTCGCTGTTCCGCGTACGGTCGGACATGGGAAAGAACGCGCGCGTCTACTTCACTAACCGTTGAGAGGTCGCGCCGCACAGAGCAGATCCGCTTTTGACAATATCCTCAACAGAAATTGACCATCGATTCCATTTTTTCGCGATACTATGCATAATATATTATCTCAATCGGATTGTTGGGGTCAGCTAGGCACTAGACCTTGCTCAATCGTTCAGACTACGTAAGGCTTTGATTGGTTCTTGCTCGAAAAATGTGTGGCTTTCGGGCGGGCCGGCCTAATCTATTTGTTTAATGGCAGGGAAATGCCAGGTGTCTCTCGCGTGCTGTAAAGTTTATCGTCATGTTCGTGCATGTAGTCTCAATCCACCAGGAATTTCTGTGACGCACACGGGCGTCTCCAAGTTTTGAAGGACAGTCATGCCCGCCGACCGAAAAATTCCTTCATTTTTTTTTCGTTCCATATTTGTTTGGTCGTCGGTCCGTACACCTCTCGGTTAAATAATGGTCGCACCAGCCGGGTGTTTTTTATCCGCCTTCCTTCTGCGGTGCCTTGGGTTTAAGCATGTAAACAATAAGAATGTAAACAATAGAATGTAGTAGCTGAAGATTTTGGATGATTCACGTCTTTGCCTCGTGGAGAAGCTGAAAGACGCTGTCGATGCTTAGACGATTGCCCCTAACACGAAAAACTGGCATACAAAGGGTGACTTCTGCCTTTTTCCAGAGAGCGAGGTTAGCAACTCAGGGACGGATTTTGTTTTGCTGTTGTGTACAAGGTCAGAGCACAGTACACTAGTGCCATGACGAAGGCCGTCTGTTTCGCCGGACCACCTACTACCCCTGCTCAACGAACCCTGACATCACTGGGCGTCGGTTCATCTGTGGTAATAAGGTGAAAACCCTGATCATGCGTCGGAGCTCTCGAGCAAGAGAGCACGGGTGGTGCGTGGAAGGCAGACAGATGTCACCTGGGCGTCAGGGGTGTATACTCTCTTCGTATGTTAGTAACGGTCCATGGGTCCTCTCTCGTGTAAGATATAAACGGGGTGGTGGTATGTTTGGTGGGAAGCAACAGCGATGCAACAAAAAATTCTTGGCTTCGTATGTACGTGAACGGGCGGCCGGCTATACATACACGTGTGTGCCGGCCGGGGTGGTTCGGTTTTGCGCTCATCGTGGTGTGTTTTTGTGTTTTGGTTGATTGTGTCTCGTGAATTCAGCTTCCAAGGGTTGAGCGATGGCTTGTGCTCCCCTTCAGGTATTACCGTAGTTTTTCTTGCACCGCCCTTGTTTCGGCCGGTCTGAGCTGAACGATTTTACCAGTTTTTTCCCGGAAGACGGCAGGGGTTGAAGTTGGGCGTCTCCATCGACTTTATTATGGGGATTGTTTGGACGCATCAGCCAGGTGCGGGGAAATATACAGTTGTATTCTTTGTCTTCGGAGTATGCTGAGTTTCGTGATACCTTTGAGATATATATCTTTTTGTACGTCGACCCTAGAGTACAACAGAACACGTTTTTGTGCGAAGACTATTTGCTCAGATTTATTTAGTCTTCGGAGATGTTTTTGTTTGTTCCCTCGTCACAAGGGTAACGCTAGAACACGGTTCGGTTTGGGGGGTACACGCCAAGTCATCTACCGCATGAGGCAGAGCTGGCTGGCGTTGTTCGCGCTTTTTCGCAGCTCGGTCACAATGCAGAGCTTGTCGTAGAGCTGAGATGGGGCGGACATGGCGTGGGTCCAAGGGTTGGTGCACGTAAGGAGCGAGTTCTTAGTCATCAGCTGAAAACCGTACAAAAGCGATGTGCTACTCAGCTGTACTGCATCCACCGTAGTGCCTGCAAGGCGCACGCTTTGTCTGAGGCCCACGTGGTATGGACTTAGTCGCGCCAACAAAGCGCACGCAGTATTACGAAGTGGTGTCAACATCGCGGGGAGACATTTGTTGAGAGACGTTGCGATGCTTTTTTTGCGGGCAGAGTTCGCAGATCTAACGCACCACACCTCACCAGGCAAAAGTCTCGAATCTCGACGGGAACAGTCAGGCATGGTACTGCCATCGTGCGAATTACACCAAGTTGTTGCCCTGGTGCGCTCTAGTGGTTAACCTCGCAAACCTACTAGTAGCAGGTTGTGGTTTTGATCCTCTCACACGAGGGCTTTCTTTATCAATAATTTGCAGCGGAAAAAATGTGAGTATGCACACTTCGCCTTGACGGCCGATGAGGGAAGCGACGGCTGAGACCCCAAAGATGGCAAGCACCCCGAGAGGAAACGTGGGGCGCCAATACAAAACAAAACACTTGAAAGCTCCCTGTGTCATCTTCCAAACACAACGACGGCCTTCCTTCCTCCTGTGCCACCCCAGGCTAATGCGTCCTAAGGGCACCAAACCTGAAGGGACCACGCCTGGAAAGCCGCACCTCGGCATCAATCTTCGCCAAAATTGTCAAACACATGGGCCACAGTCCAACAGCACGATACCCTCCTCGGGGTTGTTGTTGTTGTTGTTGTTTCTCACATTAGCTCTAAAAAAGAAAGATTGGGAGCCCGTGGTCTCAAAACCCGGCATACACGACCCCACGAAGAAACAGAAAAAAATAGGGTACAAAAACCACTCGGAAGAGAAACAAAATGATAGAAAGAAAGACCAGCTACCGCACCAAACGAGAAAGAGCGTCGAGGAGACCGATCAAAATAAAATAAAAGGAGAACGGGGAACGCTTCCCACACCCGCCTACAACGCCGGAGGGTTCCGTGCCGG